TCATCCTGAGCTAGAATTTATGGCTGTTCAAAGTTGGCCAAAAATTCACATTTTCCATACTTAGCCAAAATTTCCAAAACTTTAAAATTCTTTCCAAAAATGAAAATTTCAAATTCTAAGCCTCTTCAATTATTTCGTATTGCCGGATGTTACAGGTAATGTGAATGTCTGATGTTCAACTTCTTCTTTCTCTATCCTGTTTTGTGTGTAGGACCCTATTGTCACCTCAATCCGTGCATTATTGACGCCTCACCCAATGAAGGAACTTTGAATAAAGGTACAAAACTATGTGTTCTTGATGCATTCTCATTTGATTACCTTGTGAGTCGAGATACTCTTTACCAGAGTTGTACTCGTTATATAATGCAATCAATAGATGATTAAGCAGTTTGTCATGTTTTAACTATTAAAAGAAAGAGGAGAAAAATATGGATGGTGGCAGTTGGGGGACGGGGGCTTTTAAAAAATATCGGGATCTGTTTTTTTTGATGGAGACAATCAGGTCCTTCCCTTTTCTATGCAACGTGATCATTTTTGTTTGTTTTGCTTGACCTATGTGTTCCGTCCACATAATAATGGTGGTGGGAGTTTTGTGCTTTAATTGTGAAAATTGGTTTGAAGATGTTTAAAACAATAGATATTTCCATCACTACTTGTCTCTTTGTTTGGTATACCTGATATAGAGTTCATGCTAGTAATATCTTTACTTGGTATCTCAAGATCTTCTTGGTGCCAAACTAATTATGATCCTCTATAGCTAAATATGGCAATCGAAAAGTAGAAAGTTGACTTGCAGATGGTTTAGCTCAAGTAAGAGATATGGCTGTCTGGCATGTTGACTTCATAATCGCTGTTTTAACTTTCAGAATTGCTATTTTTCAGCACTTATGACTTTGTAGTACATGGAACATAAAAGAATCTAAAGAATGAAGCTATTCTCAGGATGTTTAATTTTCATATGAAGTGATGAATGATTTTATTTTCTGGTAATATTTTTATTCAGGGATCATATCTGCATCATAAAGAAATCAAGGCTGCACAGGGGATAAATATTAATGCTCAGGTAACGTCATTTGCTTGTTAATGTGTGTTCTTCATTGCTTTCTGCTTTATGGTATGCATTTTTTGTCACGCTTAGACCCTTGAAAGGTATTTTTTTTGGGGGGGGAGGGGTTGAAAACTGGTCCAGGGGCATGCACGTTGACTGGTTTGTTTTGGATAAAAACGATGTCTGTGATTTTGAACTGAATATGTACTGTTTACTCGCTCATCATTACTTATGTCTTCAATTTGAGAGATGCACTTTCCTTTACATCCAACTCATCTTCGATGACTGTGACGAGTACATTGAATTATTTGTGCGACATCTCCATTCAATTCATCCTTAGGAGGAAAGCATTTCTTAATTGTCTATTGTAGTCCAGGCAGCTTATCTTTGAGTTCTTTTGTCCATAATCTCGTCATGGAATACTGAGGTTCCCCGATATGATTTCTTACTTGAGTTTGAGGGCACTTTGGATCCAATCAGGGAGGTAAGGGAATTGTGCTGGATATTTGTCACAATCTTGAATTCTTGCTTACTTTTGAAGCAACTTTATAGGGATTCGTTGGATGCTTTGTAAATTGCACTAAATTGGTAGGTGGATCATGGATGGAGCCTCTTCCCTTTCTGCTGGGTTTCTTTTTCCAGTGAAAAAGTTATCCTGGTTAGGGCAGAGATTGCCTTTATTTTTCATTATTGTCCTGGATGTTCATTTTTTCTATGTTGAATCTTTGAAAATATGTCTGATAAATGATGATATACTAATTTCTTGATTTTGACAAAGGTCAGCTTTTCTTGTGTCTGATTTGTTAGTCGAGTGAAATTTGACATTGAAGTGCCACTAAATAGGAATTCTTGTTGATTTTGTTTTTTTGCCTTCTTGTTGTGTTTTGATAAGTTTTTGTCTTGATTCATGATGCCATCATTTTCCACCACGGTACTTTGTTATTGCTGTACATTCGCGCGGTGAAGAATAACCCCCTTCTGTCCCTCTGTTCTTTCATTTTGTACAGGGGCTTGAGTATGCAATTGCTGGCACTAGTTTATATGTTGTGGGGCCTGATGATGATGTTGAGCACATCAAAGAAGCAGCTATGGAAGATATGAGGTCAGTGATGAGCAGGATTGATAGAAGTGGGGAGGGAGTTTATGTTCAAGCTTCTACGTTTGGATCATTGGAAGCTTTGCTAGAGTTCTTGAAGACTGACGAAGTAAGAATACCTGTCAGTGGAATTGGAATAGGCCCTGTGCACAAAAAAGATGTCATGAAAGCTAGTGTCATGCTTGAGAAGAAGAAAGAGTATGCAACAATCTTGGCCTTTGACGTGAAAGTGACACAAGAAGCTCAAGAACTTGCAGATGAGGCTGGTGTCAAAAATTTTATTGCTGATATTATATATCACCTATTCGATCAGTTTAAGGCCTATATTGATAATCTCAAGGAAGAAAAAAAGAAGGAAGTTGCCGAGGAAGCAGTCTTTCCCTGTTCTCTCAAGATTGTACCTAATCATGTCTACAACAAGAAGGATCCAATTGTCGTAGGAGTTGATGTTCTTGAGGGCATTGCCAGGGTATTAACTATTCCTTCTTTATGTCGTGATTCATGGAATCTGTTCACCAAACACACAAAAAAAAAACACATTCTCTGAATTGCATTTGGGAAAATTACCTTTTCTATTAAATGTGGTAATTATGTGAATATAATCTATTCTTATTGTTATGGTGTTCCCTTTCAAAATGTTTTGAGCACATCCTAATGGTCCTTTTATACCTTGATTTTGTATGTCAAAACTATGGGTTTTCACTTTATTTTGGCTAAGAGATTTTTAATTTTAAGGGTACTGCCAAATTTTCTTCTATGTTGTCAGTGCTTTTGAATACTGGTGCTAATGTTGCCATTTTCTTAATTTTCTCTCTCCCCCTCCACCCTTTTTAATAGGATGCAATACTGTTCTCCCACACACCTGTATTTCATTTCTTTGTTGGTGGTAGTAGTGCTCTTTGATCAATCTTCATTTGTAGTGTTCTAGTCCATGTTGTGATGAGCTTAATTTGAATAGGTCGGGACTCCAATATGTATTCCACAGAGGGAATTCATTGATATTGGTCAGATTGCGTCCATCGAGAACAACCATAGGCCTGTTGACTCTGCCAAGAAAGGGCAGAGGGTGTCCATTAAGGTATGAAGCTGGTTAATGATATCTATCTGCAATTCCCTTGTTTTTACAATGTGGTAATGTTTGAGATACTTGTCTAGCATCAGGAGTTGTAAGCAAATTGACTTGGATATTTTCTTCTATGCATATGACGACTCACCTTGTGCCTTAAATTGTAGATAGTTGGGTCTAACTGTGAGGAGATACAGAAGATGTTTGGCAGGCATTTTGAGATGGAAGATGATCTTGTTAGCAAAGTCTCGAGAAGATCCATTGACATTCTCAAGGCCAATTTCCGGGTATGTAAAAATAGCTTTCTGGTGCACCTCCTTTTCACACAGGCAGACACCTTAGAACCTTGCTCCCCTTTCTCTGGGGCTAATGTTCAGATTTACTTGATGAAATTCTACAGAATGAATTGTCTATTGAAGATTGGAGGCTAGTTAAAACATTGAAGAACTTATTCAAGATACAGTGAGACTTTGTTGCAAACCTTTCAAGTAGCTGCTGCCTTGGCTTTTTGTGGCACTGCGTTGGGGTTCAACAGTTCATTGTGGCAAGAAACAGTGTTTTTGTTGGGACTCTTAATCATAAAGGATGGAAATGCGTATGTATCGATGGCAGTTGCAATTTCCTTCCTTCAGTTGGTTCTGTGTACAGTTCTTTTAGTAGTGAAGTGGTAAAAAGAGCAGAATTTTGGTAGTGTTAGACTGTTGGTCAATCTCAGAGATGAGTGTTGTACAGGGGTGTCAACAATTCTGTACAATTCTTTTTGATGTGCTTGTGAGTATTTCGAACAACTGCGAGTTAATGGCCTGCTATTACTTTCCTAATAAATTTCTTTTAATTTTCTCAGAATTGTAACTATTCCTATTACAAGTACGTATTGCAGCACCCAGAAACAGTGACAGAAATATATGGCACCACTTTATTAGCACAACTGAAAACAATGAGCGTATTCCTCAAGTTCAAATTACAAGCATTTCATAGTTGGCCACTTGACAATGCTTGGGCAGGAGATCCATCTATTGATTCAGCCTATTTTGACCTGCCAATTGCCACTCCTAATTCATATTTTCCATTACGAAAAGCACGTCTATTAGTTCCACCAAATTGCAAGTTTGAAGGATTATTCAAAAAGATAAAAAGCATTAGAGATTGAAGTTTATTCTTTATTGTAGAGAGTAGAATTCTTTTAACAGTGATTTTCAACATCACATATTTATTGAATGTGGAGGGTGCTTCTCTTATTAAAAATAGTAACAAAAATCCTAAAGTAAAGCATCATTTGATGTAGAATGGGATATCAAGCTTACAGATTTTTCTGCTAATAAATAAAGTCGCAAATGATTGTTCAATTACCAAACAGTAATAATCACCAATCTATTGTGTTACTCTTGACTTAAAATGTGTATCCAAGTAAGATATGGCAAAAGCAGCATGGAGGGCAGCTCCTATGGGAAGAACTTCTTCATCAATGGTGAAGTACAGGGAGTGCAAACCTTTAACAGAAGATGAGATTGTTTTATTTTGTGTCCCAATGAAAAAGAATGCAGTTGCCAATAGAACCCCAAGTCCTCTGCAGCCATCAAAGCTGGGGAATGTATTGCCAAACAAGATTTCTCCAACTCTTTGATTATGATCATAGATAGTGGAATCATTTATAGTTGGTGGATATGGCCTCATTTCTTCCATGAAATCGACAGTGGCAGAATAACTCATGTACTCCTGATTGAGTCTCAATGATCTGTCAGTACTCAGTAGCAAGCATTTCTGGTGACAATAACGTTTAGTTATAGCAAACAATACTAGAAAACTGGTATATGGTAACCAATGTGGAAAATTCTGAAAAGGTAAAGCACTAGTTTTACATATATATGTTGACACTTGTATGCCTGATATTTCAGATGAACTTATCAAAGCACCAGAACTTGAGGAGGGACATAGTCCGTAGACTATTTTAACGGTACCTCTTTGATCCTCTGCTTAAGATACGAATATCCTTCTAATGTCATGAACCGGAAGGTGCCAGCAAACCTTACACTTTCGGGGATTACATTACCGGCTTGACCACCATCTACAAATGCAACAGTGAGCACCTGCATGTATAACAAATCAACAGGAATCTTTAGATCCTTCTACTTGAATTTAGGATTCTGAACAAAAAAGAAAATTATATTTTAACTGTTTGGAAAAATGACAAACACCCTCGGCTCTTAAGGATCAGTTTCTCGAGAAACAAGTTGCTGGAGTGCAAGAACTGCCATAGAAACAGTCCCTTGTGTTATGTGGTGTTGCTGCATGGCCGCCTTTCCCTTGCATTATTACAGTAAACCTGCTAGAGCCAGCCATAATAGGACCAGGTTTTGAACTAATAGTGCCAACGGGCATAAATGGCCAGACATGCAAGCCAAACATTGCTTGAAACCCATCTAAAGCACCTTCTTCTAACATATACGAGGCACCAGCATATCCTTCTTCTGCAGGTTGGAAGACAAGCTTAATTGTGCCCTTTGTATAACCCGAATCAGTTTATTGAGAATTTAAGATATCATGTTTAATTCATCAGAAATAATAATATTTCTCCTACCTTTAACTTGTCCCTTCTGTTCTGAATCAGTCTAGCTGCTCCAAGTAACATGAGCATCGTGGCCACAAGCATGCATTTTTCCATCGATCTTGCTTTTGCACTCCCAATCTACCAATTCCTTCAAAGTTACACTTCAAATCAGTTAGTCTAGTCATTGTAGAGGAACTCTTTCTTTTAGAACAGACAGTTGACGATGCACTGCTTGAGCAAATATGAAAATAAGAGCGACTTTTATGGTCATTCTTTTTCCATTTTCCCATCAATGATGGTGTGGGTTATAGGAGAGAATAGTGTGAATGCTCACCAAACTATGCCAGTTATATTCAGAAACATGTATTCAACTCTCAAATTTGCACTTCTTCTCAATCTCCCCATCTGAATCTATCTCTGGTTACCAGCTAGTGAAAGAAATCACTGATTTGATTGTAACCTGACATGTTAAACCAATATGTTCTATTATCCTCGCACTTAAGTATGAAATAACTGATAAATAGTGTATTTGTGGTGGAATCTTCAAATGAAAGCTAAGTCAAGCATCATACAAATTTCCTAAAATATCTTGAATAAGAAAGACAAATCCACAATGTCAACATCTTAGCAGCTCGACACTGAGGAAGTGGCTTCGAAATGAGGGAGGTGAGAACAACAAAACATATGAATAAGATAGTGAATGAAGCCAAAAGGATGAACTAATGGTAATTTCAAGCAGCAGAAGGTATACAGTATCAGACACATACTTGATGTAACTGATACAGTAGTTTGGTCTCCACCATGAAGAATAAGTGTAACCTTCTTTAAGGTCTAACTTTTAGGGGTAGACTCGATCTGTTGTTTGAGGCATAACGTTTTAAAACTGTTTAACCTTAGAAATTTAAGTTGAGTTCAATTCCATATTCTAACTACAGAATGACTGATTTCTCTCTTACGTAGCACCACAATGAGACTGATTTCTCCCTCTTCAATCACTACATAGAGTATACAGGCTGAATTACAACACTACTTTTTCTATAAAGCTCAGCTGGATACACATCATTAACCCCCCAAGTTTGTGCAGTGTTAATAAAACTCATCACTCTTAAAGTCTTTTCTTGAGTGACAAAACTATCGAAAGTCCACTTTCAATATCCTAAGCAACTAATTCTGACTTGTGAGATATCAGAGATGTTTCACCTAAACAATCCTTATCAAAATTATTTCGCCATTTAGAATTTTAAAATAATCTTTATTGCAGAAACAAAGGTAGTATCAAAAAATTAAGCCCTTATTTCAACAAAGCAATTACTACATCAATGCAATCATCTAACAAATAACCAATCATTGGATGGTGATTTGACTTCCTTTCTTTTGGAGCCGAGGCAGAGGCGTATCCAGGATTTTGAGATGATGGGTTGCTATTATAAGAAGGTTGATCTATGATATATATATTAGATCGGTTCGACGTTTAGATTTTTCCTACTGAAAATCGTTAAAATTTTAAAATTATAGGTCTAAAATTAATTCATTAATTAAAATGCAACAAGTGCTACCAATTACCACTTAGAGAAGTGTTATCTAATTTTAGAAAGAAAAATAAAATAAGATAAAAGTAAAAATCAAATTTCTAACCTCGCAGAGAGAGGTGCACCCAGTCATAATTGCATTATGTGATACTACGAGTGTGGGTTCACACATCTATATTTCAATATTTTTTTAAAATATAACACTACTATATATTCTCTCGGGAGGGGACCATAGGTTCACGTGAACCCGGCGATCCCCCCTTAGATACGCCTCTGAGCCAAGGGAGGGTTCTCATAGCCCACATATGGGATTATAGTGAGTATGTTGTTGGATGGTAATTTGACTGCCACAATATGGTAAAAAGATTAATCATTTCATTGTTTTTGAGATTCAACATAACTATAAGACTGACGGGTCAAAAGCACATCTCTCAATTTTTGAGCTTCATACTTAAACTATCAAGGTAGGGCTGTGAGTTCTCTCACCAAATGTTTATGGAAACACACTTGAACTATAAGTTGTTAGCTTTTCCTAGCATAACAAATCAGTGTTGTAAAAAGCGCAGAAAAGAGCGCTTAAAGCGAGAAGCGAGGCGAGGCTCCTGCGCTTTTATTTCGTGAAGTGAGGCAACATTGAAAAGGCGCTCGCTTCTACTGTAGAAGCGAGAAGCGCAAGAAAAGCAAAAGCGTAAAAAAGCGCACTTAATTTGAAAAAGCGCTAATTAGGGTTTCTTTTTTTAAAATTGTAAGGTTTTTTTTTAAATTTTTTTTTCTGAAATCCTTATGCGACTTAATATACCTCTTTCGCGACTTCAAATTTCTTTTTTGGACTGCTGCGAGACTAAGAAGTTGCGACTGCTGCTGTAAGTTCTCTTCTTCTTCTCTTCTTCTCTTCTTCTTTGCGACTGCTCTGCGACTTTTTTTTTCTATTTTTGGTTGCTGCCACTGCTCTTCTTCTTCTTCTTCTTCTTCTTCTTCTTCTCCTTCTTCTTCTCTTCTTCTCTGCGAGGCTGCTGCGACTGATCTGCTACTGTGATTTAATTATGTTTTTGATTTTTTGCTTTATATGTTATGACTTATGAGTATTATTGACTATCTATTTACTTTTAAACTAAGAATATATTACCTCTATTCAATTATTTAATATTTTTTTATTTTTATACTAAATATCGCTTTACTTAAAAAAAGTGCGCGCTTCGCTTCTCGCTTCTGTGAAGTGAGCCCTCGTCGCTTTTTTCCGCTTCTCGCTTCCCAAAACACTGTAACAAATTAGATTTACATAATAGTTGTCACCCCCAACCTAACAAACAATAAGCCTAAGTTTTAGGTAATGGAGGCAAAAAGCAAGAACAAATTATGAAGAAGCAAGAAATAAACCTGAATGGGGAGAGTCAAACCAAACCAAGGTTGAGCAATGGTTCCCACCACACCAGTTTTAGCCACCCAAGTGAATCCAACTCATTTCGGATAAATTGACTCGTTTGGTATTCTTGAAAAGACAATTCCGGGTACTCATGGATTCATCCTTCTCAACCAATCCAAGAACTCTGGATTCCATAAGCTCCCGAGTTAGTAACTCAGTTTCAGATCCCAAATTAGTATATCTATAGCTACAGCCCATGAATTGTACGGAAAACTAGTGGATAGAAAAGACAATATGAGTGTCAATTTTATGCAAAATGAACCCATATCTGTAAACAAGAGAATGAAGTAATCAGGCTTATTGCTCTTGATTTATCTATATTTCAAGTATGATGTAATAGTTGAGTGAGATGTCTTGATCTTTGAATTTATATTTAAGATTATGTGATATTTTGCTCATTGATAAATATTGTACAAGTGAGAATCCATATACAAAAAGATTGTCAAGAACCAGGTCCTTAAAAGATCGAATCTCTTTCTCTGTAGAACTGGAGATGGTTTGAAGAAGACGTGCACTAGAAAATCTTAGATAATTGTAACCTAATTCAGTTCAAACTGGAGATCAAGACAAGTTTTTTTCTTTTTTATAAATTATGCACATCAAATTAGGTTGAAAATAAGGAGAAAGATGAAGCGAGTCACGAAGCAAATCAAGTTAAACTAGGATTCACTTACTCCTGTAAATACAACACGTCAAAAGCCTTCAAGTTTAACCACACCCAAAGAGAAATTTCATTCGAGAGGCACCCACTACAACAAATAACACATTTCTATCATGCTTTATTTGTATTGTTCTTGAATTGTACTAGTTCGATTCTTGTTGTTCAAATTACATTTTTTTGTTGATTGAAAAAAAAAGTTGTTTTGTATTTGATGAAGAGTAGAGAAGCAGAGTTATGTCACGACTTATGGAATTTAGATCGCCTAATACACAATTTCTTTTTATTCCCCTCTCTCTCCACTAGGGGTGCGCATCGGTCGGTTCGGTTCGGTTTTAGGTGTTCTTGGTTCGGTTTATCGATTTTCGGTTTGTAAATACGTCAAACCGATAACCAAACCAATAACATATTTCTTATCGGTTTTTGGTTAATCGGTTTATGGTACTTAACGGTTCGGTTTTCGGTTTAACCAATAAGAAAATACTCATATATATTATATACACGATAAGAAAATTTTCAAATAAACCAT